TTTTTGAGAGATTCTGTGAATACGGGTATTAATTTAAGGTGGACGTCCCGTTATGTGTACTTGGCAGAGGGCTTCGCTCTCTGAGTGCTTTTCTAGTTACGTCCTGCTATCTGACGAAAGGCTTGATAATCTTAGAAAATTAATTGCTGATTTTTGTGATTAGGCTACAAACATAAATATGTCAATTTAGTAATTTAAAAAGACATTTGTTTTGTTTTGAAGGAATCCTTGTGACTTTCTCATGATTTTCTGCTGTCTCTGTAATGTTGCACCTTTTTCTCTCTCTAGCCACCCAAGAGGCAGAACGAGGAGCCGTAGGAGGAGTCAGAGCTGGAAGTTCTCCCTTATCTGTTTTTGCACACTTTGTACAGTAAAGGTATAACCACCTAAGTGCCTTTGAAAACTTAAGTATCTCACCGTTTATACTCTAATGACTTTTACAAACCATCTCTAAGTTGATTTCATGTCAATGTTTAAACGTAAAGTCTGATAAATGGAAAAAAAAATTTTTGATTAACATTGTATTGGTGTTTTTTTTTTATTGTATGAGTTCTGGTTTATAGGCGATTACTGAGGTCATCTAAAGCAGACCCAGTTCAAGTTAATCTGCACCATGTTTTGGCTGCCAGCAGCGTCTGGCTTTCCTTGTCGTGTGCCAGCTCCTCCAGATTCTTCCTTTGTCCTCCTTTGTTTCTGTTCCTTTATGAAGCACGTGGAGAGACTCTTTAAAAGATTCTACCGGCAACAGATTAGATTTGTTTATTTATGTTTGTCTGACCAAGAGCGTAGGAATATTTTTAGCATCAGTCCCACTCTGTACTATTTGTAACTGTACTGTTTGTAACTGTCTCTGTAACATTTGTCTTTCCTGATTTCCTCTCACTAAGCAGTGATGCTTTTTTGTTTATTAATCTAACCTATAGATCCAGTCATATTTTATTATATAGAGATGGCTGTAAAAGCATAATATGTTATTTTGTGTTTAACAGAGTAGATGTATGTAGTAAACCAGGAAGGGTTTAGTTGGTAGAGCTGCTGCTAATCCAGGAGAACAACATTCACAGTGGATTTAATGCACGTATGCGCACAGCTGAATATTCCTGTTAAACAACTGATGTGGTGACCTTTGTCTTGTGCTGTGATTAAATATTTTAATAAGGATAAGGATGGTGTTATTATTTTATTTATTCCATGAGCTTCAAGGCTCAGATTGTTGGATATTAATTTCTGTGGGCGGTCTGCAACATAATGTGATTTTCTACTTATTTATGTGGTTTGTGTTTAGGTGATGCTGCAGTATGGATGCCATACATGAGCTTCAACAATTGGTATAAATTAATATGCATAAGTCCACTCAAATATGTTGAATTGTTTGTTTAAAAAGCACCGAGGGGCCAAATTTATTCAGGTCATCATTTCAAATTTGGAAATAATTTAAACCAAAAATGTTTTCAACTGGGCGTGCTTTGGTGGTGCAGTGGTTAGCGCACACGGCACATGTATGGAGGCCTTAGTCCTCGAAGGAGGCGACACCGGCTCTAATCCGGTCTGTGGTCGTTTTCCGCATGTCTCTTCCCCTCTCTTATACCCTATTTCCCGTCAGCCTACTGTTAAAATAAACAACAAACAAACAAAAAAATTTTTTTTTATGTTTTCAAACCTTGGGAAAAATCACTTCATCTTTATTTTATAAACGAGTAAAATTCTATCTGCTCCACGTATTCTTCTGTTACAGTTGTTATGAAAAAAAAACCCAAACATTTCTAGTTTATGTCCTTGTGACCCCCCTATCTAAAGTGTTGCCTTTGCACGCTATCGTGCTACTCTGGATCCCACAAGCTGATGATACTTCATTACTTTCTGTTTTGTGTGTTAGACTTTCTTCTCACGCACCTCCTCCCACATTTACCTCTACCTTTTCCAGGTATCTACTCAGTTACCCTCTAATTCAGAGGTCTTCAACAGGGGGTCCGCGACCCCTAGGGGGTCCCCGGAGGTACTGCACGGGGGTCACAAAAGTTTTGGTTGATTAGACTTTTTTTATATTCCCCCTGCAATTTTTTCCACTAATTGAAATGTCTTTAAATAGACATTAACATGAATTCAACACACTGTAGTAAACAGATTAATGGAGGGAGAAGATGTCTTTCAGTCATCAATGCACACATTCAGCAACACACAGGAGCTCTTTCAAGCTTGGCACCGTTTCATTCACAACACCTGTCCCATCAACCAGGAATCAGAATCAGAAATACTTTATTAATCCCAGGGAGAAATTACTTTGGTTACATTAATCTACATATACTGTGTATGCTTTTACAGCATACACAGTATATGTAATAGAGTGACTATAGGACCAGTTTTATTTAACACAATTTCATACAATATGTTAAATTAGGGGGTCCACGCTCCATCTTGCCATCAGTTTGGGGGTCCTTGGCCTGGAAAACAAGGAAGACCTCTGCTCTAATTCATGTAAAATGTTACAATGATGCAAAATGAGAGAATTGGGAGAGTGAAGGTAATGTCATCTTCCACCCCTGCATAAGTTCAATGTAAAAAATGGCAGAGCCAGCTGCAGTTTTTGATACAAAAAGATTATTTTAAAACTAAAACACAAGCATTTTATAACTACGTTATTAATCATCAGATTGTATCTGTAATTGCACTACAATTTTTTAGGAACAGTAGCTTGATTGCCATACCGTGCCATAATGCTGCCATTTTTACTCAAGAATTCACATTCTGCAGTAAATTGTGGGTAGCATAACTTCATCTTGTACATTGTAATGAATTGGGACACACTACTCCCTTGAACCCATACATGAGGATGTGCAGTTGAGGAACACAAGGGTGGAAGCGTAAGTGTTGGGACAGAGCCCTCTTTACAGGGTTTCTGCGGGTCATTAAAAGTCATTAAATTGTTTTTTAAATTAAGGCCTTAATTGGCATTACAATTCATTAAATGTGATTATCATGGCATTTACAGTAAAATGCTTTATTAAAAAAAAAAAATGTTTGTCAAATATATCAGATTTAACTGGTACCACATGTTTGCGTGGAACTGCTCCTGGTTGATCATAAAGCCGTATGTTTTCGGAACAGAAGCTCGAGGCAAAGAAAAAGCTGGAAAATGGGAAAATTGGGACATGGCTGCAGCCTGTCGATGGTAAAGTTCACAAAGGATTTGGCCATGTTTTTTTATATACATATGAGAGTAATGGGTAATTATTGGTACTGGCATAAAAATTATTTCTAAGAGCATTAAAAAGCATTAAATTAGAGTTCCTCCTTCCTGTATATACCCTGCTTTTGTAAATAATCAGCTTCAGTGTAAATTCAGCAAAAACAAAAGTTTAGAGGTTCTATATAACACATTTTCTAAAGCCTTCTAAACTATTCTATTGGCATATACACTATATGATGAAATGCTACCTTTGGCACCTTTTTCCAAACCAGAATAAAGATTTCAGAGACATCTGTGCGAGCAATGCTTGTTTAATGATGTCACCCTAGAGCGACTGCAGTATCCAGTGGCGATTCTCGACGAAATTTACCCAGGGGCAAGGGTGGGTCAGGCATTTTTCATGGGGGCAAAAAAAAACCAAAAGAACAGAGCAAGAGCACATTTCTAAGTTTAAGTGAGCCACACACCTGTAAACTCTAAGCGATGTGGACAACAATAGCAGTTGAGTAAAAGTATTAATACAGCTATTCAAATCTTACTCAAATACAAGTAAAAGTTACTTGGTCAAACACATACTCAAGCTAAAGTATTGAAGTACTCACTTTTGATGATACGCATTCAAAATCACATCTATTTAAAAGTACTTATGTATTCAATAGTACAAATTACATTTTCTAACATCAGTGCATTTCTGTATGATTTTCAGAGTAATTTCAAATAACCTTGTAATTTTCAGAAACCTGATGTATTGATGTGTAGAACCATCTGCTAAAGATACTGCACCACCAGTAAAGAACTTCAGCATATAATGGCACAAAAAATAAGGAAAGCTAATTTGATTATTATTTTTTATTTAAAGAGAAAAAGAAGACAGGAGTGTCTTGATTCTCCTCATATTTTCCACTGTGGAATAGAATCTCTGAGCAGTAAGAAACTGCAACTGATAATAGAACTTATCCCACTGAACAACTTGGTCACAGGGCAACAACTAACGCTTAATAAAATTATAAACTCCAAATAATATCTGCCCTTAGTTTCTCACATTTGTGTTATGTGATGCAGATCTAAAACAGTGTCCAAATTCAGTGCTAAGGGCTTTAAGAAAGAGAAACGGCAACAGAGGATTATAAATCTAAGCTGAGCCAAAAGGAACATTTAACTAACAGCTTCCTTAAAATGGGGGAGAGTAGAAAATACAACATTTGACTGAAATGTAGTGGCAGTTTCTATGGAGGACCAACTCTGGCATATTTAATATGGCATATATATATATATATATATTGTATCTGTATGTTTTGTATGTGTTATGTATTGTTTATGGCTTTGCTGTAAAGCACTTTGGGTACCATTTCGCTATTGTAAAGGGCTATACAAATAAACTTGATTGATTGATTAAAAATAAATACAGAAATAAATAAATGCTCAAATTTATATGTCTCTTTTAATTAGCTTCTTTATTTATCTAATCGTAAATAAAAAAGCTATTTAAAAGTTAATACATTTATGTCTCGCTGTATAATTTAATTTCTACCTACATTTATTTGTTTATTATATTTTCGTGGGTTAATTAATTGTATGCTTATTTATTTATTGAGCATTTATTTATTTATGTTTTTATTTTTAAATATGCCAGAGTTGGTCCTCCATAGATTTCTTCTGGCGATACCTGCTCATAACATTTTTATAGAATTTCGCCTGCTCCTCATACAGAGCCGCAGTTTCACTTCTTCCCGCATGATGGTGCGCTTTAAATGAACGCCTGGAGGAGCCAGAGGGGCGGAGTTTGAACTTTCTGTGGGAATTCTCAGTTCAAAAAGCTGCCACTGTCCTGTGGACTTAAACCTGGGTTGCTTCTCCTTTCACTGGGATCAGGAAAGTCTTCCCAAAATATGCTCTAAACGCGCAACATCAGAGCTTTTTAACCTTAGGTTGGCTATAAAAAAAAAAAAATCCTGTCTGCGTGGAAGAAGTTCACAAAAGAAGAAAAAGAAGGAGCAGTTAGAAACCAATCGCCAGTTGTGCAGGTGGTGCACGTTGTTGATCGGGGATCAAAGACTCCATCCATTCATCTCTTACCTCCTAGTTCAGTCTCACCTGTACTCATCAGGATGTCCCTGGAGACATATTCAGCGCTGGACGAGTCTTCGCTCCGGGCTTTGGTGAGGCTTCCTCTGATACTGTTAACCAGACCAGGACCAGCTTTCCACATGGCTGTTACTCTGTAATGTTATTTACAGCATGCACCCAGCCAAACATCTTCCATTGGCATACTTACAATTTACTTAAAGATTATTTTATTTTTATTGATAACATACACGAAAATTAGATTGAGATATGCATAGTAATCCTACAATGTTTCAGTACAGAAAATATATATACTTACAAGTTTTCAATTTCTATACAGATATATATATATATATATATATATATATATATATATATATATATATATATATATATATATATATATATATATATATATATATATATATATATATATATATATATATAAATGCATACTTGAGGAAGGAAACTTTTTTTTTCTAATAACAAATAAACATACTTGCTATTTATCTTTAACTATATTCTACCAAATTACCAGTGTTAACTCAAAACAGATTATCTAGGAATGAGAGAAAAAAATAATAATAATCCAGTTCATTCCACTCTGGTAACTATGGTAGGATATAAAATTAATTATTTGTATATATAATTCAAGATTAAAGTTAATGTTGAATTATATATAATTCTTCTTATATATAATTCAACATTAAAGTTGACCTAAAAAAGGCATTTGTTTGTCCTGGGCAGCAGTCCAGGTCTGATGATAAGAATGAGGATGAGCATCATATGCATGATATGTCTGGAACTGGAACCTCTGACACATTAGTCACGTCCTGATAATTTCCCATAGCGGAGGAAGGTGAGGTGTTCACATTTTACTGTGCATTCTTCACACCTGTAACACAAAAATGTTTACAAAGATTTATGAGTCATCCTGCTTAGACCTTGTTACAGCCCGTTTGATATGTGTCTGTGAAAAGATAAACTGAGTCATTAAAGATTATTTCCCAATTGTTTTATTAATCCTTTATCACTTAAATGATTGCAGTTTAAGTCTTTGGTTTTTTAGGATAAAAATTGATAAAAAATTTAATATGATGTCCTGTAAACAAATATAATCTAAGCTGCAGTTAGAAGCTGCACGGTCTGTAGTCAATTTTTTATATATTGAGTTAATAAAGTAAATGTAGTTTTAACATCAGACCTTAACTGGCAGAGAAAAAATTAGCTTGTTTGCATGTTGCATCCTGCAGAAAGTGTTGTCATGTTTCAGCGGGTTCCCTCTCAATAAAACACCCTTAATGCAGCTTGTTGAATTATCTGTCCGTCGCTCCTATTGTTGGGCAGGATTGGAAATAACCCGTCTCTCTCCCGCCCAGGTCAGCTTCTTTCCCTTGGCTTTAAGGTCAGCCAGATCCCACAATTTCACTAACGATCTTTGCAGTGCCAGACTTTTCCATCATCAGAGAACTTTTCAAACAAAACAAACCCACAACAGAAGTTTATTAGAGGTTATGATGAAATAAAGTTAATCATAAGAGCTTTTAGGAAATCTAACACCCTATTACACAGTTTTATTGCTCAGATTCTTTTGTTTTGTTGTTTTTAGGAAGCCAGTAAAAGAGAGATTTTAGGATTCCTAGACCAGACTGAGTTGGTTGTAGCTGCTTTTAAACAAAGGTTGGATAACAACACAGATTCCAGGCCAGTGTCGCTCTTAACAAACTTAACAGTCAGAAGGTCATATGGTGCTCTCTCTTAACGCCTGTAATCCCATCACTACGCTTCTATTCAGAGCCTGACCTGTCTTCTTATATCGTTTGGTTAATCCCCCTCTAATGCAACCAGAAACGGCTTCTTTTCCCTCCCGTTTAGCGTGGTTACTGCAATTATTTATGCATCTATTAAAATTGTTTTCCAGCTAAAAATGTATTTGTGGTTTATCTTCCTGATTGCTTCTGAAGATAAAGATCTAATCTTCTAATCTGTCTCTAATGACTTAAAGCGGCGTCAGCCTGCATGAGAGTTCATTGGCAGATGGAGTGATGGTTATCAGTTGCTACACCCCTGATTTTTGCTGCAGGGCAGTGGCCTCCTGTGTGTCAGTGTGTTAAACCTGCAGGACTTGTTGGATTGGCAGGTGTCTGCTGGCTGCTCTGCAGGTGCACCACCCTACTTAGCTCAGTTGGAGTCCTGTCAGCCGCTCTGTGAATTGTTTTCTTTTTTTTCAGGTGGGTGATGAAAAGAGTCCATGTGTTAGATAATCATCAGTAGTCGGCTGGATTGATATAAGTGCTTATAGGCCGCTCCATGTATAATGATTTATAACTAGTCTCACTAGGCCTTTCTCCCTGGTGAGCCAGAGGCATTCACACATGTTTAAAATAGGCCACATTCAGTCCACGATCCAGTCCGGCCGATGAATGAGACCCCTGAGACTCTGATTTATGACTCTCCAAACCTTTTTTTTTTATTGACAACAGGTCAACGGTTACAGTCTGGGACTGAGATTGGGCTTATTTTAGCCTGATCTTTGTTTTGTCCTAAGATTCACCTTATTCCCTGTTGAGGCTGGATTCATCATTGGTGAGGAATCATTGCATAAATGTTTGCTTGAGCTTTTTTCCTAAAGGAAATTTGTCTCAGTTTTCCATGGAACAGCAGGTGCGTGTCGTTTCATGCAATAGATTTCCATAAAACACTCATTCCTCTTCACAGCCATGATAATTAATGCTGCTTCTCACTGATCGCAATCTAAGGTTCTTAATTATGAATGTGATTTCCTTCTGGTGTTTCTCCTGCATAGGAGGAACAATTTTATTTTTCTGGCTTTATGTGAGCTGAATGATGATGATTGATTTTATTAGATCCTCAGACCAAGTCATTCTTCGTAAACCGACATGCCAGACTTTATCTCTGCTGTTGCAGCCTGCACACTTCAGCATCTTGTCAAAGAAAAGAGCAAAGAGATAGAAAGCTCCATCGTTGTTTTAGATAAATGGAGAACTTGAGTTTCTGGATTCTGCTATAAATACCTGCTCTAGGGCTTAAACAATTAATCGGATTAATCATGCTTAGTCGGTTACTGAAATAATAAATATTGAAATGACTATTTTAGTAATCTATTAATTGTATCATAGCAATTGTTAGTAATAATCGTTTGTAATCTGAGTATAGAGGCTTTTAAAAATGCCTTAATCTGACGGAGCAACCAACATGTAGCTGTAGTTATACCAAAATTGTGAAAAAAAAAAAAAAGATAAAAATATGGTGTTCTTTCCTCAATATGCCCTATTCAAACCTCTTCAAGTGGAAAAGTTTTAGTTTCACCTAAATTTTAAATTCTGCAAATAAATCTTTAGATGTGTCGATTAGCAAAATGATCCTTAGTGGGGGCCCTAATCTGCTTATATTTTTAGTCTTAAAGGAAAAGTAAAAAAAAAAACATGATTATTTTGGTTTTAACAATGTTTGACGATGAAATCTGAAACTTAACAGTTTCTATTAAAGTCAATGTGTCGTTAAGCTGCTTTGATAAGCTAACAGAAGCAACCTTAATGTATGAGCTAATCTTTTCTTTGCTATTTTCAGAATATCATAAAATAGAGGAGTACGTTTAAGAGAAGTGGCACCATGAGAGGTGATTGTCGCATCACTGTAATAACACTATGAGCATACTCGTCATTCTGTTATGGTGCAGTTGAGGCAGAAACTCTGGTTAATTAGTTGCTTGCATAACATTTCCTTTATGCAATTTAAATGCATATTTTGCAGTAGTGCCCCCAAAAAGAAATGACTAAGATATGCCAAGTTCTTAAAAGTTTGCACTTTCATTTTCCTTCATGTTTTCTAAGATTTTGTTGTGCTCTTTATTAGATGTTAGAGCAAATTTAGAGACTGAATTTGTCTATTCCTGGTTGGATTGTGCTGCTTCCCTACCTGTTGCTTTGTAATTCTGGTCATTGGGCTGCAAAAGATCTCAGCTGTTTTTTCCAGGCTTACAGTAGAGACCAATGTGGCAGTCATATAAATATAAATAAATACATTTTAGATCTGTAAGGTGAACAGCTTAGTGCAGCAAAATGCAGGTGTGCTCTCATTAACCAACTACTGTCTGCATGTTAAACTTGTTAGAATATGTTGATGCCACATTTCATCAACCTGTTTTACACATGATGAAAACGGCAGTTAAAGCCATTTTAATCAGGGATATATTTTTGCGGAAGTCTTTTTTGGTTTTTGTAAGATTTTTGTTTTTATTTTGTCTTCAATTGTTGTATGTTCATATAAAAAAATCCCAACTGAAAACATAAACACAGCTGTTTACGCCAAATAGTGTCTGCACCGTTGTTAACTTATGTGAATGTACTGGTTTGTTTATTGATATATATTTTTTAATAAATCACAGAAGCAAAGTTTAAGCGGTTAGTTAAGTCAACTGCGTGAATCAAAGCAGTATATTCTGACGCTGCCTGCTGAGGGCCAAACAGTCATTGTAAGAGCAGTCGGTCTGGCTGACCCTTAGCTGAGCGCTCCAACAGAGGGAGGGAAAGACTGATATGTCCGTCTTTACTGCTCTGCTGAGTCAAAAAGGTCTGGATAAAGGATTGAAGGTGTAGTTTTCCCTCTGTGTCCCTGAACGCCTCTATGATCCAAACAAAGTGAAACTTTCCCCTCAATTTAATGGATTAAAGTTTTACTTTGGTTTCTAACTTTCAAAAGTTGTTTTGGTGGGTTTGAAGAAATGCTAATTAAATGAGTAAAATAAGCTTCATGGCTATCGTTCTCCGGGGAGAAGTATGGCTTAACAATTTACCCTAAATTGCTTTTGTAAATCCCACTGCATCACCTGGATATAGACATCAGTATTATTTGTTTGCTTGGGAACAGTTTTCTGCTTTCTTTATGAAGGAAAATAAGCAATGGAAAACAACATGTAATGATGTGAAGTAAAAGATTAAGGATAGTCGGGGGTTTTTTTGGTTTTATTTTTGTTAGAAAAGAGGAAAAGGACAGACAGGATGCAGTCAGTCAAAAAAAGAAAAAGAAAGTAGAAATGTAGTCCCTCAGGAAGGAGCCGTTTCCTGAGGTCCTC